AATACTCCCCTGCAGCAGCCTGCGTGCTAAAGATAACCAGTACCTCTCTGCCTTCCCTCTGCAGCCCTTGCCACAACACCACCACCTCTTCTGGTCGTGCATTGCAGCCAGACCATCTACGGATGCTGCCCAGACAACATGACCTTGGCGCTTGGAGTGGGTGCAGCTGGATGCCCAAGTGAGTGAATATCGTGTTCCCACCTGGGAGGGCATAGAAGACCTTCAAGGATGGTTGGAGGCAGGAGAGGTCAAGTGGAGAGGGAATTTGGAGTCTCGTCCCAGGGGAAACGAAGGACAGTAGACCCATCCCCATTCCTTAGCTAACCAGTGACCTCTCGGGCTCAAAAAGCCTCCGTTTATCCCCAGCTCCAGGCTCATGGCACGCACACGTGGAGATGTGCACACATGCTTTGCTTTCTCTATCTACTAGTGATGCTCTTGTCCCTTCAAAAGCCCCAAGCCAACTTCCAGGTTTAAGTCACTCTGAAATGCGAGAAGACAGGGTGGTGCCTCAGAACTTGTCTGCTGCTGGATCCATACTGGATGCCCCACAAGGTGCCCCTAGGGCCAGACTGTGCCCTCTGTGCCTTCAACCCACTGCTAGAGGGTTAGGGCTTTTCACCAGCCTGAGTGACAAAAACATTGCTGGTGTCCTTGCACTGCAGGCTGAGGGGGAGCAGAGCTTTTGGGTTCACCTAGGGACCTGCTGCAGGCCACCCCACGACCAGTGACTAGTGGGTGGCTGCACTGTGCAGGAAACTGAGCTGGCAAATGTTTCATTAATATTTATTAAATAATTATCGGAGTCAGCACTTTAGCAGAAGGCGCCTTTTGAAAGGCATTAGCAAACCTGAACAGCTGAGGCTGCGGCCACCCGTTAGGGAAACACATTACCCTGTGGAGACACGATTCGTGCCGTGCTCGTGCCTGGCTAATGCCTGCTTGATGGGGACGTGGTGGTGTCTAATGTGCCATGTAATTTAAAAAGCAGCAGCGTTCAGAGGCTGTGCAGAGGTCTGTGCAGGGGTGGGCGCTGGGAGGGCAGATGCAGGGCGGTGCAGTGTGCACTGGCTGAGGGGCCAGCGGAGCAGGGAGGTACGCCGGCACAGAGACAAGCATTTCGCTTTCAGCATCGCCCAGCCAGCGCTGGAGGGTAGTGATGTTCCTGTGTCTCTGATGGAAGTCCTGTCCCCTGCCCTCCAATCCACGGACACAGCTTCCTGACTGACTGGGATTCAGCATCCCACCAGTTTGTGTCCCACCTGTGGCCCCGTGTTAGCAGCAAGCATACAGCAGGAAGTAATTACAGCTTAACCAGCAGCTTGAAGCCCCTGGGGCAGATTTATCCATTGCTGCCTGTTCTGGACGTGCCATTTCCCTGCCTCAGGCAGCCTGGGGATGTGTGTATGCACCCTACCGGCTGCTCCTGAGGTCTCCCTTTCTCTCCAGCTCTGCCCCATGTCCCCTTTCAGCTGCTCCCTGTGGATAAAGGGAGCATCTCTCCATCTATCTTTGGATCATTTCCCTCCATCAAGTTCCTAATTAATGAATTAATAATAAACTTCTAATAGCTTCCTCCCCCTTTGATGATAATGAGAGAGGAGTTCTTGATGACAGCAAAGCAAGCGGGTTAGTCCCTGAAGGTTTAGTTCCCCCTTGTAGCTGGGGCAGAGGAGAAGTGCTGAGAGCAGCTGATGAAACCTCCTCTTGCCCAGTGTGAGACCATATTGCCCTGGCTGAGCAGCTCAGCGGCTCAGCAGGCAATTCCTCTGCCCTCGTGCATCCCCCGTGCATCCCCCTGCCTTCTCGGCCAGGACTCAACCTCATCTCTCCCTCTCTCCGGCTCGCAGGCACCTGCCAGTGCAACCCCTACGGCTCCTACGGGGGAACGTGTGACCCCGCGACGGGGCAGTGCTCCTGCAAGCCGGGTGTGGGGGGCCTGAAGTGCGACCGCTGCGAGCCCGGCTTCTGGAACTTCCGCGGCATCGTCACCGACAGCAAGAGCGGCTGCACGCGTGAGTGCGGGCAGGGGCGCCTTGTCCCGGGCAGCTCTCCGCTGGCACGGCTCCCTGCCTGCTCCACAGGGCTCGAGGCACGGCGGGCTGTGGAGCTCTAGCGTTGGTCCTGTTGTAAGTCACCTCCAGTGGCTCTTTTTGCAGAGCTTGATGACTTGCTCCGTGCAAGAGAGATGGGGTGGCCCAAAGCATCACACAGGTGCTGTTGCTCCCTTGTAGTGCAGCTTGGCTGGGAGATGGTGTCTCCTTCCGTGGGCCTGCTCCTGGCCAGATGTTCTGCGGCACTGCCTGAGCCCAGCCCTGGTGTCCCTGTATGTGTCTGTGGGGCAGGATGTGGGATCACAAGCCGCAGGACCGTGGTCAGAGGGTGGTTGGTGGGTGGAGGGAGGTTCCTGCAGCTGGTTTTGGGTCAGTAAGTACAGGTCAGTAAGTACAGGGTAGTGTTGTGGTCCTCCCCTGGACCCTTCTCCTCACTCTTCTCTTGGATTGCGGGGGGTCCTGAGTGGGTCTGCTGTCGGTTCCACGAATCCACCAGCAAAACTGTGTCGTCTTTCCCTTCTTGCCCAGCCTGTAACTGTGACCCAGTGGGTTCAGTGCGTGATGACTGTGAGCAGATGACCGGACTGTGCTCCTGCAAGACTGGTATCACTGGCATGAAATGCAACCAGTGCCCCAACAGCAGCAAGCTGGGCACAACGGGCTGTGAGAAAGGTGAGGGAGCCACGTACCAGAGGGATCACGTGGGGCACTGAGTAATGGGTGCTTGGGTACTGCTGTGGGGCAGCACGGAGGTCTGTGAAAGAAACGCATCCCTCCCTGTTTCCGTGTGGTTGGTATGTGCTTTATTGGTCACCTCTTCCCCCTTCTTTCTCTGCCCAGACCCGTCAGCCCCAAAATCCTGTGAGGAAATGAGCTGCGAGTTTGGGGCCTCATGCGTGGAAGTCAACGGCTTTGCCCACTGCGAGTGCCCGTCCCCGCTCTGCTCGGAGGCCAACATGACCAAGGTATGGGGGAGAGGTAGCCATGGGGGGCTGAGCAGGTGCGTGGGGACGTGTGGCTAGCTCAGCTGCATTGGGCTGCTGCAGGCAGCACGGGAGTCCGATGTCTCTTTCCCCTCCCGAGAAGCAAGTGGGCAAGTTCAGTCACTGTCTTGTACCTGGGAAGGGTGACATGGGAGTCATAGATGTCTCCCAGCAGAGCTGGGTGCCCTGTGCCCCGTCTGGCACCTCTGAGCTACTCTGCTCCTGGGCTCTTGCAGCCCACCCTTGGTCCATCTGTGCAGACCGTCACCTCTTTGCTTCAGAGGGACCCCTGCAAAGTATTTGGAGACCAGTCTAGTTTGACCAGGGCTTGGAGGAAGTGCAGCTCACGTTTCCTCTCTGCCTCCCAGGTGTGTGGCTCTGATGGTGTCACTTATGGGGACCAGTGCCAGCTGAAGACCATTGCCTGCCGGCAGGGACAGGTCATCACAGTGAAGCACGTGGGGCAGTGCCACGGTGAGTGTCTGCGGCTCTCGGTGCTGGGGTGGTGCCAGCTCTCTGGCCTGACACTGGACCCGGATCTGGCTGCCTCCTTCTGCAATTCCTCAGTGTGCTGTGACTCTTCATGGCACAGCAGATGCGCTGCCCAGGGCAGGTGCCTGAGGGTTTGCAACATGCTTCCCAGTGCCATGGCCAGCCTTTCCCAGACCAGCCCCTTCTCACCTGCCCTGTCCTGCTGCTCCTTTCAGAGTCCATCACTCACACAAGCCACACCTCACCACCCACGCCGCTGCCCACGCTTCCCCTGGACAAGTTAATCCTTCCTCCGCCACTGCGGCTCACCACCCAGGCTCCAGAACCCACTGAGCTGGCTACCAGCACCCTCCTGTTGGAAACCAGGCCTACTGAAAGAGGTCACCATACAACAAGGCGCGTCACGACTGCCAGACCAGCCAGTACGCCCATGGGGTGTATAAGACCACCGTCCGCCCTCTTTCCACTGCGCCAGTGGTCCTGGCCACCACCCAGCTTGCTTATGTTGAATCAGGCAGTGCAGAAGGCAGTGGAGACCAAGAGATGGGCATCAGTGGAGACCAGGAGTCCAGTGGGGCAGGCTCTGCCGGTGAGTGTCTTCTGCTTAGGCTTGGCAGGTCGGTGGTGGGCTAACTTGTACCATGTCTCTCACGATGAAATGAAGCTGTGTCTCAGCCTCGTTCTCTGACACAGAGGTGAGCTCTTACCTTCTGCTGGTGAATGCTCCTGTTCGTGCCCTGCAGGGGAAGAGGAGGTGGAGGAGAGCCAGGTAACTGCCACCCCAGCCATCGAGAGGGCGACGTGCTACAACACCCCGCTGGGGTGCTGCTCTGATGGCAAGACTGCAGCTGCTGATGCAGAAGGCAGCAACTGTCCGGGTGAGTTTGTCCTCGAGGCTGGGCTTGGGCTCCTTTCCGTGGTCAGGAGTCAGACCGAGCTCTTGCCGGGTGCAGGAGAGGGAGAGATGCCACTGGGAGCTGCCCGGCGGGAGAGCAGCACAGTGCTGTGCTTGCCCAGCCGGCAGTGAGCACGGCTCCTGTGTCCAGTCTGGGGCTGGTGTGTCCTTGGGATGGCGTTCATGGGGATGTGCTGAGCCCTGGTAGCTGGCAGACGTTGTGCCCACCTGCTGCAGTCCCAAGCAGCCAGCCCTAGTGCTCGCGTGAGTGCTGCTGGTCCCATGGGGAGCCAGGGCACTCTGCAGTTTCCTCTGCTTAGGTGACCACTTTCTTCCTTCACTGCTACAGCCTTAAAACTTCAACCTGTGTTTTGCCCAGGCTTGTTCAGAGCTCATGGCTGGCACTAGTGGGGATGAGGGAATTGCTTGGATTCCCATTTTATCAGTGTCAGTGGTTGTAAAGGGAGCTGGGCTGACCAGGAGCAGTTTGGTGCCAGGGCAGAAGTGGAGAGTGGCTGTGGCCCAGTGTCACTGCTGGGCTTCCTGGGCAGTCTGAGCTCTTGTGACCCACACTGTGGTTCCCAGGGGTGCATGCTGCTCTTGCGACCCAGGTGGGATCTGTCTTGCCCACTTGTGGTCCTTTTCCCACTGTCGTGTTGAGGAGGCACGGAGCCACCTGTGCTTGGTCAAAGTATTGGTTGCCCTGTACATACATCTTTGTTACCCTAAAAATTATTGCTCTGGGGCTGTTTCCTAGGTGTTTCCTCGCTGTTCACTGAGGCCCTTCTTAACTGTCCCTGTTCCTTGGGGTTTCCAGCAGGACATCCCCTTTTCCTCTGGACACCGTGTTCCCCTTTTAACCCGTGAAAGGACAGCTGCTGAGAACCTCCCGTATGGTTACCCATGGCAGGGATTTTTCTGTAGCTGCCCCTGCGTTCCCAGAGCTGCCCTGGAAGGGAACCACACCTTGGGTTCCCGTCGCAGCTTCAGTCGGGTTTTGCACAGCTGGCCACAGCCCGTTAGCTGGCGGGGTCTCTGCTTCCCTCTCCCAGGACAGGTCTTCTCCTTGCCCAGAGGCCACGTTTCTCCCTCGTCCGCCCCTTGTTTGCATGCACGTGTCTGATCCTGCCGTATTGACTGTGTGCTGCTCTGGCTAACGTCTTTCTCTTGTTACTCAGCCGGTGCAGGGGGGCTGCTCTCCGGGCCGGAGCTCAGAGGAAACCGTATGGTAAAAGCTGCCATCTCCAGCCTGGTCTTTGCCATCTGCTCCAGCACCCTCTGATACTAATCCTCCATGGCGCTCTCCCAGACCCATCCAGACTAACCCCAACACTGGCACTACCCGCACACTGCCATCACCCTTTCCCCCCAGGGACTCGAACACTCCTTGCGTCTGTCAGCCGCACGCCTCTCCCCTGCCCGCGGGCCGACTAAAGGCAAAAAAAAATTTTTCCCCTCCCTCCCATAGCTACCAAAGTCTTCCAAGGAGTCCTCATCTTGGAGGAGGTGGAAGGCCAGGAGCTGTTCTACACACCTGAGATGGCTGACCCCAAGTCAGAGCTCTTTGGGGAGACGGCCAGGAGCATTGAGAGTGCGGTGAGTCCTTTGCACTTGGTCTAGGGTCTGCCTAGGGCTCTTCTGGCCTCAGCAGAAGAAGAGAGGACCCTGCCCACCTCCATCTGCCCTGTGGTGGGCAGGCGACTAAACCCCGAAGGTTCACTTCCAGAAACACAGCCTGTGGCACACTCGCCTGCTCGTGTCTGCTTGGCTTCCGAGGTGCCAGCACCGTGCAGGAAGGTGCCCACCTGCCATGCTTGGCCCAGCTGCCCTGCCGCCCCCGGGGCTAAATGCTTTCCGAGCACTGCTCCCCGTGTGCCTGTCGCAGTACCCTGTGCTGGCACCACACTCTGCTGTCCCGACCGACGGAACAGCTTTGGGATTCCTTCTGCTTTGCCTTTTTGTTCACAATGGCTTCTTTGGAGGCTGTGGGAGTGAACACGGCTTATTGCCAGGACCAGTGCTTTCATGTGATGGGCACTTAAGAGTGTAAGGAGATGATGCACCAGTTCTGTCTGGGAGATATCCTCCATGAATTTGTCTGATCTCTTTTTACTCTACTTGCTGTGTCAGTGGGTTCCATCCTTTGTTATGTGCTGAGTCAAAAATTATCCTTTTTTAGCTTGATCTTGGTGGTGGGGCTTTCTAGATGAGAGGTTCTACCTTAACACCCTGGCTCTCCCAAAGCGTCCTTACCTCCATGAAAAGCCCTTGGGCAAAAACGTGTTTGAAGCCCCTTTGCCTCTCTGGTTCAGCTACACGGTTTGGGAAGCTGTGTGTGTAAATCCAGTCTCCCACCTTTCAGGAGAACTCCCCTGTGTTGTCAGCTCTTGGAGTAGGCGGACTTTGCGTGGCAGTGTGTACGTACGGGCATGCCAAGGAAGCACTGGGTGGGGTAGCAACATTCTACTGTAGCCTGCAGTGTGGCACAGCAAATACAAAGCATCTTTGCAAGGAGATTTACATATTTAGAGCTGGTTCCAAGCTGCACTTAGAAGTTGGCAAGCCCTCAGTACAGTCATATAAGCAGATGTGTGCCTGGCATATGGACCATATGGTTCATGCAGTTCTGTATCACAATAGCAGTATGTCCCAATACAACAGCGGCTTCTATCTGAGGATGCAAACACGCACTCAAGAGCTTCATTCACTGGTCCATCCGTTCCTCTGACAAGGCGAGAGACTTTGCTGGTGTCTGTTTTCCCCAGGCTAGAGGGAATGACAGCACGGCACAGCTGTGGCTGGGCTGAGCGTTCCTGCCACAGAGACCTGTTGTCCCTGTGCAACCTACCTGCGAATACCCACGTATGTGATGTGGTCCTTTACCCCTCCGAGGTCGCTATGCCCAAATTTACAGGGGGAGACTACACCATCAGTCAGTTAATTACCTTCTTGTGTCTTCACCTTGAAGCGAGGGAAGGGAGCGGTGGCCTCCAGCTGTGAGCATGGCCAGACAAGCACGAGGCTGGGCAGACTGGGCAGCTGGGGTGCTAAAGCCCCGACTCGCTGTGAGTCTTGGACTGTCGCTGTCTCCTTCACGTGACTTCAGACAAATCCTGCAATGTCTGAGAGCCAAGTTTTAAAAGGCAGTCAGGTACTTAAAGATGCAGAATGGCACCTTGTGGGATTTTCCAAAGTGCCTAAGCAGGTTTATACAGCTTTAGAAGGGATCAGTACGACTTAGATGCCACACAATAGAAAATCCCTATATGAACTGCTGGGTGTCTCTGGTCTGGCTCTGTTCTGCTCTCTGTGGGTACCATGGGGACAGCTCACTTTCCCCACACTACTTTTGGATCCCGTTCTTACCTTTGACTGCAGGCCATAAAGAACAGGGACCATCTAAAATTATCACCCTACACAACGGAGCCCTGTTGCTCTGCCTGTGTCAGTGGGATGTCTTGCAGAGCTTTGGATGCAGACCTCTGTGGTTTGAAATCAAAGAGAGTCGCTGAGCTCAAGATGTTTTACTGAAAGGACCTATGTCCGAGGATCCTCCCATTAATCGGTTTGTTTCTCTTTCCACCTCCGGCCAACTAGCTGGATGAGCTTTTCCGCAACTCTGACGTTAAGAAGGATTTCAAGAGCATCCGTGTCCGAGACTTGGGGCAGAGCAGCGCTGTCCGTGTTATTGTGGAGTCCCATTTTGACCCAGGTAAGAGCCTTCCTGGTGCTCATTCCCTATGGCATCACCATCCTCAAGAACCTTAGTGAAATTTGCTGGGGGTATGCCTTCTGTCCAGCCAAATCGACAGGTGCTGTGAGAAGAGCTGTGGGGAGGTGCACCCCGAGCTGGTGCCTGGAAGGCTGGAAGCATTTTCCTAGGGAAAGGAAAGACTGGGATGCATTGCTGGGGAGGTCATGAGAGAGAAGCTGCTAGGTGGGCCTGCACCTTCACTCTTGCCTTTCTCCTTTCTCCTCCTGGCTACCATCAGACGGCAGCTGACGTCCAAGGAGCCCTGCTGAAGCAGATCAAAGCTTCCAAGAAGACAACCATCCTGGTGAAGAAGCCCCAGCAGGACCACGTCAAATTCATGGACTTTGGTGAGCCCCCTCGGTCTGTGGTCAGTCCCTCCTCTTGGTTTAGGCTCTCCAACGGGCTGGCTGGCATTTCTGGTCTTGCCAAGGCCTTTCCTCTGTAGCAGTAACCCATCGAACGCCAAGCCACCCAAGCCTTTCTGCTGCCAGCTCACCCCAAGAGCCCGAGTGGCTTTCCCTGCCCCCAGAGAGGGCTGCAAAGCACCAGCCTCCACCTGCATTTTGCTGTTTCAGACTGGATCCCTAGGCTCTTCACCACCACTGTGACCACAACCACGGCCACCACCATGGCACCCGCCACCACCCGGAGGTACACCACGGCCGCCGCTGCCACCACGGTCCACGTCCTGCGCCCGGATGCAGCGGGCCGACCCAGCAGCAAGACGGCAGGAGCTGTGAGCACCAAGAGACCCACCTCCACCCTCCCTGCCACCACCCGGCGGAAGCCCACGCGCCAGCCCCCTGCCACGAAGAAACCCTCGCGGCCCTGCGACTCGCACCCCTGCCTGCACGGCGGCACCTGCGAGGATGACGGGAAGGAGTTCACCTGCAGCTGCCCGGCCGGCAAAGGGGGAGCCGTCTGCGAGAAACGTACGTGCCGCTGACCTGCGGCTGTGCCCGCAGCCTGCCTTGACTGCGTGGTGGTGGAGAGACATGGGGGCACGTGCAGTAGCACTGGCACTGCGCGTGCACGAGGCAGGAGGCACTGCAGGGGCTGGTTTAACCGGCTTCCTTCGCTCTGCCAAGAGCAGGTTGTACGTGCACCGTGCATCATAAGAGGCGAGCATGGCAAGGCTGCAGGGTAGGAATGTGCCAGGAGCAATTTCTGACTGTGCTCCTGAGATACCAGTGCCCCGAAGCATGGGCGTTGTGAGGTTCTGCTGTTTTATCTCAGCCCGTGGCATTGTCACTTGCATCTCCTGCAGCTAGTGAGTGTGACAGAGGGGCAGGTACTAGCTGTCCTCTCGAACACCAGGAGATGCATGCTGATGGTTCAGGCTCTATTTCCTGGCACTCAGAGCTGCTCAGCACACAGCTGCAGACTGGCAGCGTGCTTAGCCAGAGCTGCTGTTATTTACTGCCAGCTCCCACTGGCAGCTTGGTGTTGTGCCGGGGGCCCTGGGTGGTTGTGAGTGCTCGTTCTTGAAAAGCTTTCTCCCTAAAGCTGTAAGCTGGAGCACTCAAAGCTGCTACTGGATGTAGGTGTCCAGCCCTGTTAATTTTAATAGGGTTTGGCCTTCCACGTCCCTTGGAAAATCTCGGCTGCAATAAATAAAAGCCTGGAGTGATGAATGTAAATCTGCCATGTGGGAGTCTGGAAGGACAGATAAAAATTATCTAAGGAGCAGGGAAGTTGAGTTACGAGGAACCATGGGTGCAGCAGAGCTCAGCTGAGGGCACCTGATAGCTGGGAATGGAAAGGGCCAACAGCACTGGTCCTTACCTGGGAGGAGCTGGTTGGGAGACCGCTGAAGCGAGGTGCTGGAGAAGCAATAGCACGGATCTCTAAAGCCTAGGAGCAAACTTTGGGGGGCCTTTCATCATGAGAGGAGTCAGTTGCTGCCAGTACAAGTGCCTGGGAGGTGGTGACAGGGGATAACTGCACAGGATTGGGCCCAGAGAGAGCAAGCTGCTTTCTGCCATTTCTAGAGTTCTCTTTGCTTGTACAGGTGGGAAGGTGTTCAGAGGGTCATGTCAGGCCTTTATCTGCTCTCTGTCCTCCTGTTCACTCCTCTACTTCATCCCTTCTTCCTTTCTCTACCCTCCCTGGCTCTTGCAGCTATCAGATACTTCATCCCCAGCTTTGGTGGCAAGTCCTACCTGGCCTTCAAGATGATGAAGGCGTACCACACCGTGCGCATCGCCATGGAGTTCAGGACTGTGGAGCTCAGCGGGCTGCTGCTCTACAACGGGCAGAACCGTGGCAAAGACTTCATTTCCCTGGCACTGGTTGGTGGCTTCGTGGAGCTCAGGTGGGTGCCCTTCCCCTCGGCCCTGGGTGGGTGGAGGGAGAGGAGCAGCCGCTCTCACCATAACGGTCCTTGCAGAATGCCAGGAGGATGCTGGGCTCGAACTTGCAGGCTGAGAAACAGTAGCATCAAATGGACAAGAGGAGGAGCTTTTTTCCCAGTGTGATAGGAAAACTGGGAGGACTCATTCCCTGTGGTGCTTTTCAGCAAAGTTAATTCACTTATTTTGGTTTGAATTTTGAAAAGCTGAAAGGTGTGGGAGGTTGACTTTTTGAGTGAGTGAGAGGTCTTTTTTTGGCACTGTTTTTGTACTGGAAAAAGAAAAGCAGGAGGAAAAAAGAAAGTGAGAAAGGCCACAGAAATCTGAGCTGAAACTAGTTCTCCAGTGCCAAAAGCCAAAGTCACAGATTGGGAAGGAGATGAGGTGGAGGACAGAGCTCTGGAGACTGCAAAGCCCAGAGGAGGTCTCGGGCAGGCAGTCCCGGCACTCAGCAGGGATGACTGTGTGCCTCGAGGGCAGCCTGGTCCAGAGGGGGCAAGGGAGGGAGGGGGGCTCCAGAGTGCTCCCAGCTTCTCCCTGGGATGCAGCAGCCCCCATGCCATGGCACAGGTGTCACCTTCCTGCAGGGTAGCACAGACGCAGACCTCCCTGTCTTCTGCTCCAGGTTTAACACTGGCTCCGGCACGGGCGTCATCACCAGCAAGGTCCGCGTTGAGCCTGGCAAGTGGCACCAGTTAGTGGTGAACCGCAACCGCCGCAGCGGCGTGCTGTCCGTCGACGGGGAGCCCCACGTCAGCGGGGAGAGCCCGACGGGCACCGACGGGCTCAACCTCGACACGGACCTGTTCATCGGGGGAGCGCCGGAGGACCAAATGGCTGCGTGAGTGAGGGCACCCAACCGCTGCCACCGGTGTCGTGGCATCTGCTG